CCAGAATTCCCATGGCTGGCTGGGGAATTCTGGGAGTTGAAGTCCACACATCTTCAAGTTGTCCAGGTTGAGAAACGCTGCTCTGGGGGGTCACAATTCACAAATCTGAGAAGCCATGATGTAAGGGCTCAAAAACACAGAAGCCTCTAACCTAGCCTCAGCAAAATTGTGTCTTTCCTACACTGTAAGACAGAAAGTGACATTATTAAAGATATGGTGGCAGCAAGAGTATCTATAGCCCCAAAATTGAAGGAGGCCAATATTCAAACTGTAGACCTTGTCAGTGTTTCTCAACCTTAGCAACTTTAAGACAAGCAGACTTCAACTCCCAGCCAGTCATATATTTCATTATTGTTTCAGAATCTGGGCCCAGAGCATCCTCTCGCAGATGGGATACACTCAGCCATGAACCTTGTTGGATGATCTTGAATCAGACCCATCCTCTCCCCCTGTGCCCCCCTCACATGTTTGTTGTAAGGATAACACAAGCAATGGGGAGAAAGCCATGTCTGCATTCTCTGGAAACAAAAGCAGGCTATAAAGACAATCAACATAACATTATGTATTTTATACGTACAGGGAGTCCTCATTTAGCAACCACAATTGGGACTGGCAACTCGGTCATTAAGCAAAGCGGTCGCTAAATGAAACCGCAATGGTGCTTACTATCTTCCTTCAGCTTTCCTTTGCTTACAGACCCACGAAGGTCATCAACATGAGGATTGGTTGCAAAGTTACTTTTTCATCACTGTCATAACTGTGAACAGTTGCTAAACGAGGACTATCTGTACCAATATTGGTGTTCCTCCCCAGCTCAATCAGATTAGCCTATTTAAATATTATTTGACTATTGTGTTTTCTAAAAAAACAAAAACCCAGTCAGGCAACCCTTTCCACTCATCTAATATAAACAATCTGAAAGTTACCTTGGGGATCATTGGCCTGGAAGCCCGGAACACATTTCCAAAATCAATATCTAACCACTGACTATGCAAACAAACACAAGCTACAGATGGCAGGACACCCTTTCCTTTGCACAGAGGAAGAGCTCTTCAAAGCTGGTCTTCCAATCCCAAATGCAATTTACCACGGTCTGTTTCAGAAGTAAACTGAACATGAAGGCAAAATTAAACAGT